GTTGCTGGACACCCCAGATTTACAGTAGATTTACAATAGGCTCACCCTTCCCCATGCATCTGATGACACTCCATTGTATTCCAAGAGGTGTACTATATGTGCTCATTGGGTCACCCAAAGGTGTCCAGCAACTGTGCGCTCTAAGTCGCACAGAAACCTGGCTGGACACCCCAGATTTACAGTGTATGCAACGCATCCACTCGCCTGCATACGGTATACAGCATAACCACGAAGGTATGCGGAGTCCGAGGGCGACCCTGTTTCAGTATGGTTTGCGGCAAATGAAGTGAATGTTATTGGCTGTTATTGGCACGACTCGGCATCCATCCGCGCTCCAGATTCGTACACCGCCCAAAATAACGCGCTCACTGCTGCCGCCGGGCGGGGTCGTCATCTCGACTAATGATGCTCGATATCTCCTCGATAGCGAATGTTGTGGGGCGCCAGGCGATGTGGCCGCTGAGGAAAAAGAAAAACAAGGAACCGCGCGCATATTTTTTTTTAGCCAACACTTATGCCACGAGCTGAGCAGTAGCGATAGCTAGCTGTTGTGTGACCCTGAGTTAGACAGCTGTTGGCTCTTGCGGCGGCGGGGCGGGGCGCGGCGCGGCGGGGCGGGAAGCTACACCGCGCACACAGCGAGTGCGGGTACACGCAGTACGTCACCACGCCCGCCAGGACGACGCGACGGTGGGCGTTGGAGCGTTCCGTGTTCGAGCCTCCACCAGCCGCGTTCAACGCCCCCCCTCCCCCCTCCTTCGCGCTCCCCGTAGACAAACCTGCCGTCCGGCTACTCCACCAAGAAACTCTTACTTGCTACTTGACATTATTTTTGATCGCGGCGAGCGCAGCCTGCTGCGCCGCTGGTAGTTGTTTTTGCCGCCGACTGCAGCCCCGCGCCAAAAGCGCCACCTTGCCTATGTCTGTACAGTCATTATACACAGCAGGGGCTCCCGGGTGAGCACAGCGGCCGCGCTGGACAAAGGTACACCAGAGGTACACCGAGTCCACGCGGTGGGGTGACACACGCACACCTCTTGATATGCTCGACACATACACATACATACACATACACACACACACACACACACACACACACACATCCACGGCATCCACGTGTCACCAGTGTCACGCCTCCACCACGACCCACGTGGGCGCGGGGTCCACACTTGTCCGTCGGAAAAACAAAAGGGAGGACTCAGCTTGGGAAGTTCTGGAATGATTCATGCATAGGCTACTTACAAACACACTGAACAAATTATTGAAAAATGTTTTAAGAAGCATTCATGCCTAAGATTTCGTCACCTTGAAAAGAGTCCTAGATACATTGCTACGTCTATCGCCCTGCAGTACCTTTGTGTTCCTAGCGCCTCCCCATTGTTTGTCCACTGCCGCGTCGCTGCGTGTGCGCTAAACAAAGACGCGCCTTATACACTTCGTTGACGAGACGCGTTCAGTGTTCACCCAGACCAAAGGCGTGTAAATGAAAATATCCCTCCAGATCAATGAGAATAGGGAGGGGTCTGCTTTCAACGAGAGAGGGTGGCCTATCGGCCACGTTCTTCCTTCCGATTGTACAGGGTGGTCCACAGACCACTTTCTTTATTTTGATCATACTGTACCGGCAATCGCGCGAGTGTGTTGCATGTCACATACGGGGCCATAAGGCGCCGTGATGAGCGACGGTAGGCAAGCCCGCCCGCACGCCTGCATGCGGTACAGTATACGCAAAACAAAGGAAGGGGCATGTGGACCACCAGCCTTTACTGCACCGGGTGCGGGCGTGCGATCGGGCTATAGCCTATCGCCGCTCACCGAGGCGCCCTCCGGCCCCGTGCAAGTATGCGACCCGTGCGCACACCTGCATCCGGTACGGTATAACCAGAGGAGAGAAAGGCGCCAAAGATGGGCCACCTTGTACGTACAGTAACCAGGCTACAGCTCTACAGATTACGATGTGTGGATTGTGCTTTGGCGCTATCGCGAGGCGTCAAAGTACTGGTCGTCGTGTAGCTGATGTCCACTCGTGAAAGGTGTTGAATCGGATCACAAGCTGCTCTCTCGAGGAGCCTTAGATCCGCCAGTGGAGTGGGGTCAGGCCGTCCGTCCGCCGTTCGAGATGAACCCCGGGGTCGGGTCCAAAAGTCGCGGCACTCGAAGCCGCGAGCAAAGTCCTGACCCTGAGTCATCACAGCCGCGCCCCCAGCCAGGATGCCTCCGTAGGGGCAGGGGAAAGGGAAAGGGGAAAGGGGAGTCTAAGGGGAGGTTTGTCGCGACAGTCAAGACAGTCCGGACCGATGTAGGTGAAACGGCGAGTGGGCCGCGACCCGGGAGAGGCGGGGCGTGGGAGTGGCTAGCGGCGGCGCGGGATCGGCGGCCAGCGTGGGAGGCAGAGAGGGAGAGGAAGGGGGGAGAAGGGGGAAGAGGGAGGGGGGAAGAGGGAGAGAGGGAGAGGGGCGCTGGCGGTGCATGTGATGTGCGGAATGCAAACCAGAGAGGCGTTGGCGCTACTACCAGCGGCCGCCGAGCGCTTCATGGTCATGGCCACCACCACTGCAATTGGGACGACACCTGAAGAAGGGGGGCCCGGGGGGGGGGGAGCCTGCAGGAACCCATAGGCCACGGCCGAGAACGCTCGCCGGAGCTGCGACGGCGGTTGCAGCAGCAGCAGCAGCAGCAGCAAGGACTCTACAGCAGCAAATGCGTTCTGTGCGTGTGTGCGGAGAGCAAGGAGCGCCCGCCCGGATCACTTGGGCGGCGGCAATGTTGCCAACTCGACCGCCTTTGCCCACCTCGCGCCCGCGCCCGCGCCCGCCACGCGCTTCAGGTGAGCGCGGCACGGCGTGTAGTGTAACGCAAGTAACGCACAGCGGCTGTGTCGGTATCGGAATCGTTGCACCTCCGGCCTACTACTCCGGCCCCACGGGGGGTTGCACTGAGGTCGCTGTTGTTGTTGTTGCTGCTGCTGCTGCTGCTGCTGCTGCTCGCCAGAGCGAGGCATCCCGATGAGAGCTCGTGCTGAAGAAGTCAATTGCTCAGTGATGGTCAAGTACCCGCCGCGGGGCGGAGCGGAGTGATCCAGCCGGCCCGTGTGACGTAGCCGCGGGCCGCGTGGTGGCAAATAGAGCGTGAGCAGCGTGAGCAGCACGCTTCCGGCGGCGGAGGCGCGGAGCTCGGCGCGCTCTGTCAGGTCACCGGTGTGCAGCCGAGGGGTACTTCACTACAAGTTGAAGCGTACACCGATTTTTCTGCATTTCCTTGATTTTATTCCGACTTTTTCTGACCTTTATTGAATTTTCTTAAATTTTTTGACTTTCAGATTTTATTTTTTAGTGAAGTTTCCCTCGGATGCAGCTCGGGGTCCAGCGGGCCCGTGAGGCACACGCCGGCACGCGGCGGCTCCCAGCTCCCAGCTGGCGGGAGTAGAGCACGGCCTCCTAATTTTAGAGGGCGCCCGCGCCCGGTGTCCCGCCGCCGCCGCCAACCGCGAAGCGGCGGCCGCCACTGTTCTCTTCCTCTCTCTCACTCTGTCTCTCACACACACTCTCTCTATCAGTCTCATAGTAGACTTGTCGCCGCAAACAGGCATTCTCGCGGGTGACAACGAAACGGTCGCGGTCCTGACGTCCATTTCAGCTAGAAGCCATGTGCAGCGACCACGCCGGTGCACTCGACACTATATGTCCGGGATGTTTCTGGCGCTGCTCGTGGGCGGCGGAGAGAGCGGCGAACACGAACACGGACACCTGGTGCGCCCAGCTGATCGCCTTGTTCCTCACCATTGCGGCTGCTTCTTGAGCCTCTGGAGACTGACGCCATCCTCATCGCTCCCCATCACGGGCGCATGCGGTGCGGCACGTCACGCGGCACTGCGTCACGTCACGTCACGGCGGTCACGGCGGCGTGCTCGCGGGGGATCGCGTCGAACGTCACGCTCGCGGGCGGCGCGGAGGAGATTGTGATTGTGCGGCCTCACGGTGACGGGGCGCGCGCTGCTCGCCGGGCCGGTCCGACTCAGACTGGCGGCTGCTGCTGCTGGCTGGCTGCTGGTTGGCTGCGGCGCGGCGGCCGGGTCAGCGGGGCCCGGCGGGGCGCGCGGAGGGGCTCCCGGGGCCCCCGCAGCCCCGGGTCCCCGCTCCGGA